CTTATGATAATTTTAAATTTTCCAAAGAAAATAATAACTTTCTCTTATGAAAATTTAAACAATATCTTATTTTGGATGAAAACAAATACAATGGCAAAATAATTTTACTTTTACTTACACATTATTCATCAATTGCAGAAATATAATGCATGCTAAAGTTCCAATTAACTTTGCTCTAAATAATTAATTTTTGGGGTAACACGTTTATCCACTCGTGTCTTTAATTCATTGCAATAATAAACATGTCGTAGTTTCGCATTTGTACGATAACGTCTCTCCCCAAACAGACACGAATTTTTCATCATCCGCGACGCTTTTAATTCCGTTTTCATCGATGACCCAGAGAAACGTGGAATGTCTTTCAACTATCGGCGAGAAAATCTCACCGCCAAGCAACAGATAGTCAGTGAGGCAAGGGTATAACGAATGGTCACGATAACTCGATGCTGCATTCACTTCGACCGCTGCTGGAAGAGGAAAACATGCGAGATCACCGTTAAGGTTTCGGAAGTACCTTTAAGAGAGTCGCAAACACGCGAGCAGTCAATGCGGTAATTCATTGAAAATTTATCACCTTCGAGAAACTTGCGAGCGGTATCACGCGAGCCTACCTTCGCCCGCTCCACATCGCTAATCGACGGTAATTTTATTACCAGCGACATCTTCGTATATTTTCCCCATCTTTTCCCTTTACCGGTTAGTCAATGGAGAAAGTACTTAGAACGTATTAGGCACCGTGTACTCGTTGCTCTGGCTGAATTGAAACCTTTGTAGTATCGCTAGGTGAACGGGTTTTGATTGCGTACGCTATCTCCTGATACCTTTCCTGCATAAATAACACGGAATGATTTATCATCTTGATTGTCTAGCTGCTGAGTAACTCGCGTTTCGTTACGCGCGGTAATTGGTTGCTTTTATCAACTTTCTTTTTAACCCTCGCACGGCGGACCCTGGAGAGAGCCCCCGATTTTAATTTAATTTCGTATTATATCATTTTCATTTTCTAAATTTGACACCGTTTCTTTAAAAATGACACATTCAACTTTAGATTCACACTTTATCTACTGGAAGCCTGTTAATAGACTTGTCGACACTATCGGCTGTTGAAGAAAAATCAATTAATACCCTTTTGATTATTACAAAGTTAAGTCAGTTGAAATAATAAAAGTTAGATGTACTTCAATTAAGAAGAAATTGAAAAGAAAGGTTACACCTTTTAATTTTTAATTATTGTTAATTATAAAGTAATAGTGCATGGTTAGTAGATAATGTGTTAATATCTTTGTAAGGTTGGGTCACGATTGACCCAAGTTTCGCTGTTCAACGGTTAGGTTTTATCCATTTTATTTTTGCTGCTTTGTATAAAAAAGGAATTATTTGAATATTGTTTATGTTATGATAAAATTGAAATTGCCATTAATAAATGCCAAAATTGGCACAATTTATTCTAATAGCTTCCAGAGAGAACAGCAGCTAGTTTATTAAGGGTAAATGGAAACAACCTTTATATCGTCCATTTGCTGCCAGTTATTTTCTGAAATCGTTCGCGAAAGTACGTCCAACTTCTTCGATTTCCTCGTTCAATGTCGTGGACCGACCATGTTGGACGTTATCAACATGGAGTGTTCAGTATGGGCACCAAAGCACCCGAACCAGTATTCCCACGCGAATATCCCCCGAACCGTATCTGAACCTCGGTCCCGACGTGTTTCAAGAGATTTTTCTGCGAGTGGAATACGCTCTGAGAACGATTTGATGCGTGTGCTCCGTGACAGCGGAAACATTCATTTTTTGTAAACTGAAATTGCCCTGCGAACGTGGCTCGTAATAAAGGTAAACGAAACCTTGTTCACGTACTTTGTACATTGCTATAATTTATCGAGTGAAAAATTCAAATGAAAAGAATAAAAATTTTATTACTATTTTTCTTTATTAAGGATAAGAAAATATTGTAAATAAAAACACTTTTTAAATAATGGAATATCTCCTAAATAAGAGATTTCTAAATTGCAAAATTACTGAATAATAGAATTTCTAAATAGAAAAATAGAATTTTCTAAATATTATAATATTTTAAACGGTATAGATTATTAACGTAAATAGGTAAGGACCACGGAGAGCCTGCCCCATTTCCCAAAATGTGGATTGGTCCCCTCATTATTCTAAAATTCAGAAATTCTATATGGAATTCCAAAATTCCATATTGCAAAATTTCTAAGGGGCTCAGCTTCCTCCCCCCACCAAAAAGAAGCCTAATTACACCAATGGTAAATATGTTAAACGATAGACAAAAACCTAAATAAAATTTCTGAATAAATGAAACTTATATTTATTTAAAATTTTCTATATTTGACATATGTTTTCATATCAAAAATGTTGATCTCTATGGAAACAGTGTCTACGACAGTAGCAAAGTTTGAAGTTAATTTCGATCCGTGAAATGGGCTCAACAGGATGAGATAATGTCAGACGGTCTACCTGTCTCACAGAATCTACATGATTCGCTAACCTGGATCACCTGCCGTGCTAATCCCTTTGATCCTTCCTGGCACAGATAATCCATAGGCAAATATGTGGCTCGTCCTTAACAGGCAGATTTTGCAAGCAACCTTGACGTCGTTAAAGACCCTCGTTTTATTTTGTACACCTGCCGGATCCAAGGACCGTGGGAATCTCTGAAAAAAATGAACAAACCCTTCTTTTTTTTAGTCTGATCATAAAAGAAGTTTTTTGTTAAAATTCTCTATTATGCGCCTAAAAATTCGAAAGCTCCTCTTGAACATCAATGAACTGACAAGTGCAGATAATCATCTCAAGTATATCTCATTCTATAAATGAAAATCACTTTCTCCGGGCAGCCACGACTTCTATGAATACATCTTCCTACAACATCATAGCGAAAGATCGCTTCCTCCTCGAAGGATTAATGCACCTGGAACCGAAGTGCGTGCATCATCATTCTTCGTGCAGAAATTACGTCCAGGGAGAAGGAAAGTTGAGGATGAACGATGACATACGCTCGAAGCCAGGCCGAGGGTGGCGTTTTAATTGGGCAACTGTTCGTCGTGGACCAACCATTAGCGTAACTAGGATTTTTGTCTTTTGTCCTTTTTAATATCGCATTTTAAATTTTTCTATCCAGATTATTTTAAAGAAAAATCAAGTACTATGAAAAAGAAATTTTAATCGCTATAAAATTATCGAAGATAATTTCCATCTTCCTATGCTAATTTTTCTCCTAACATATAATGATTTTCTTCCAAAGCACTATTAATAAAATAATTAAGAGTGGTTAAATTAAGAAGTGACAAATATTTGCTTTTTTTACTCATTTTAATACTGCAGGCGCTCGCTAATTCCCTGTTAGTAATGATTGAAAGGCTGTGTCACATAAACAGTAGAACTGTGAAGCACGCATGGCATTGGCGCTCGATAATTCTCCGTTCGATAATTCCCCGCTCGATAATATTCTACCTATCCCTAGAGACCCAAAGGAGGGGAATTATTAAACACGTACTGTAATTTGTAATAGGGTGTAGATGAAAGTAACTTATTCATGCCAATGGGGTCATCTGTAATCGTTTAAATCGTATCTCTTTGTTCGACGATCATCGCTGGCGTTCCTGGCACCTCTTCGCGCGATCAAAATGGCGCGGCAGTTTGAAAATCCGACGTCTCGCGATGCAAACCACGTGGACAGGACCCGGTGTTGCGACAGTAAACGTCGTGTCGCGTTTCAACGAACATGACAGCGACACAACGAGATGCAATTTTCTCGCGGGCCCGACGATGACGAGGTTGTTTCAAGAGATTGCCTCTCGTCGCCCAATTATGCGAGATCCTTTGCGCGTACAAGCGCGCTGAATCCTTGTCCGCTAACTCGTTTGCGTAATTTCTGCGTGAAATACTTGATCTTTCGCAGGGAAGAGCGATCTCTGTAATGGACATCGTAATCATAAGAAAAGTGTTAGTTCAATAGAAATCATTATCTTGATCCATGATGATAGGGTTTGCTTAGATCTGAGTTTAGAATGTTAACCCTTTCTCTTATGTATTTTTCTTTTCGATAGTTGCGTCAGTCAGTGCTAACCATTCATTGCTTGAATGTTAAAACAAATAAAGAAAATTGAAATATCATGCATACATGATAATTCAACGATTCTTGACTGGGCAAATCGTAATTCTAATCTGAAAGTACTAGTCAGGATGATCTTTTTATTAATAATTTGAATTTCTTTTGTTCATAATTTTTCAATAAACAATGCCAGCCGACTACAACATTTTGAAAATTATTTATGTATGACGACTTTAACAACGAATTAAAAAATCATTAGGATCGAAAGATGATACCTTTTTCTAAATATTTACCTTGAAAGGACATGAATTCTATTGGAATCCTCTGAATAATTAATCGAAAATGCGTGAGGTAGAGAATTTATTCAAAGTCGATTACGAAACGAATTTCAAACGACGCGCTGATCGATCAGCTCAGCTGATACGATTACGATCGAATCAATCAAATAACAATACTGTTAATAAAACTTGTCGAAGGAGATCAGCTGCAACGAAAGCTGTCGTATAATCCTTAAAGAACTTGACAGTAAGCGTCCCTTTTTAAGATCGAGCAATGCGAGTTACACGCACCGTATTGAATCCCGAAGCTTAAACGCCCTCTTCGGAATTCGCCTCTTTGTATTTAACCATTTCCATTTCCATATCGATTGAACGATGCAAATGAAGGCGTGTACCGTGTCGGATTGGTCCCGATCGCTATCAAAACAATCGATTCATTAATTTAATTTCATCCTGTCACCGCTTGACAATGGCTAGAAGCGGCATAAATCTTAATAATGGATGTAAAGCCAATAGCGTTTCCATGGCTCGAAATGTGCTTCGAAGAGGATGCGATATCATGATAAATATTGATATTATTTATCGTTCCATTGAAGATATGTCGTTTGGTATCATCGATACACAAATTTATTCTTTTTCTGTTGCAGAAGACGCGTTTGCAATAGATCGGTTCCAAGCTCTACGGTTCATCATCATCAAAACGGACAAATTAGGTAAAGAACCCTGTATAGAATATAGTGTTTATTTGTAAATTTCCTTAAGTTTTTGTATTCGACATAGTAGGCTACGAAATTAAATTTTTGCATTTTCATTTAATCTTTAGGTATCTTAATATTTTTAATATTAAGGCTGACACTTCCGTTTTCTTGTGCTGCCCAGGATGGACCCAGGCGACCCATTTGAGCTTCGGATGTAACAAACGTAAGTAAAAAATTTTTACGTCAATCAGTGCCGAATTAAGGGTAAGTTTAAAGGTGCCACGTTGTAACCCTTTCATTTACTATGTTAAAAACTATTAAAATAAATCTCCTTTTACTGTTACCCTTTTCTTTACAATTAAATATAATTTTATTTTATTTAGAATAAATTTCAATTTTTGAGCAAACTTTAATAACCAACGAGGCCCTTAAAGGTTTGATAGCCCCAGGAACCGGATTATCCTATTCATTTATAAACCGTTTAAACAATCAGGCACCGAGTTAAAAATATGTGAATCTTATCCTCTTTCGATTTTAGTTCAATTATCTATGGTATGTACAGTTTAATAAATTTTCAATTACACATCAAGTCGAATTCTTTAACGCACCATGTAAAATATTTACTGGTTAGTAATACGTGATATGTAATCTGCAGCTTAACTTAATTGCCTTTCAGCTACCTGCCCAGCACCATGCTTAAACGGAGGAATATGCACCTCCCCCGGCAGGTGCACGTGTCCCAAAGGATTTACAGGCAACCAGTGCCAGACAGGTAATATCAAACACGAATGCAAATCAATTCTAAATTATCATTTCAAATGCTAATCAACGGTATACGAACAACATCGTTGCAGGTGCACCCTTTTCATTTCACTTTACATTATATTGAATTTCTGATCACTTCTTATTAAATTTCGTATAACATGTTGATGAAATTTCTGATGCTAAGTTAAAAATTTTAAGCATTGAGTCAATTATTTTTTTTTTCAATTATTCAATTCTATAGAGGTCACCAGTGATTCGTATTATAAATTTAATACGTTAAACTATTCTATAGAGATAACGATACAAACCAGGGAACGATTGAATCGTAAAATCTTCTTGGATCATAGATTAAACCAAAGGCAGGTCTTTGTAGCGAAGATCGTTAGTCGTAATTAAATTGACGCAGATCGATACGGTGTTCGATAGAGTTACGCGAATACCACGAGTCGTTTGAACGTATTGTGGTGTCCAGCAGCTGGCTGCTTTCGATAGATTTACGAGCGATTTCGTTAAGCTATGCGGACGTTCTAATTACTGGGGCGATGTAAGCTGTGTCAGTGGCGGTTCGATCCAATAAAAAAAGCTCCTTTGCTAGAGGGAAGGTTTCGACACTCCCTACAGAGAAATCCTTGAAGCTTTCATGGGCCACATTCCTGCATTTTATCATGACTTTAGTGTGCTACTGACATGCTTCTGAATTAGTATTCTGCTTTATTGGCGTTGTGATTGTGCTGCTAGATGCAAGAACGACCTCAGGACATTCCTGCCTTTTTTGCATCAAGTGCATAACTAGATTTTCTATCTTTTCTACGTAAATGGTAATTTTCATCGATTCATATTGGTTTGTATTTAAGTCAAATTTAAATTAATAAAAACTTGAGAAAGTTATAATTAGAATTAATTTTTATAATTATGACAAAAATATAAAACAGAAATATTAAATTTATAACAGTTCTATTATTATTTATATTTTTATAAGAAATGCTTTTATTAGAGCTCTCAAAATGTTACAACTTAATTTTAATAAATATTCTCAGTTTTCCTTAACACTGCAGAGAGCTTTTATTAAAAATGTAGATTTCACAATTACAGGTTCACATTCTAAAAATATACAGGAAACATACTGCGCGTTCGAATCTTTTAAATGGCATAAATTTCAAAGGAGAGTTAATTTTCTGAGTACACCAGTTTAATACGTCTACGTTTATGATTAATAATATGATTTGAATGGCTTCTTGATTGCAGAAAGCATGTTCATTGCTGTTCAGAATTTTGAAATCACCCATTAATATTAATCTTCTCACTGTTTCGTATTATGGTCGCAATAAAGGAAGCTTGGGTTATTGCAGTGAAAGTACGAGTATTAATAAATTACACATGGCACATCGTGCACCAACTGTCATTATCTGTAATGCTATAATTCTACCTACTTTTGTTTAACTTTTATAACACATCATCAAAATTATCGTCGCATAAAATAATTTCCCGATCCCTGCAATTAAATTATGAATCACCTACTCAAATACATGTAATAAAAAGCTTATCATCTCAGTAAACAAAGCTTACTCCCTTAACATACACATTTGAAAAAACTCTTTATAATTGAAAGAATAAAACATCAATGAAAACGTGTTTTTCAATTGTCTTTATATCCCAATCATTTACTTTAATCACCAAACAAGTTACTTCGAATGGTACCACTTACTCTCCCACTCTTTCCTGCTTATCCTCAATCGAACACCTCAACTCTTGATAACTAATTTAAATTTCCAAGTAATTTATTCATTAAAATCCTTGTGGCCATTCGAATAAATTCAATGGACCAACGGAAATCAGCATTACTTTATGATGTACATATAATATTCGCGAATGGTTCTGTCCGGAACTTGAAGGGTATTTCGCGATGGATCTGTCGCAGCTGGTAAGCTGATGCTATTAATTTTTCATGAATTAGCATAACTTGTCCACCAACGTTACAGACGTCGACGAGTGCGTGACAGAGAAGCCCTGCGATCAGCTCTGCAGAAACCTACCCGGAACCTACGAGTGTCACTGCAGACCCGGTTTTCAATTGCAGAAAGACGGCCAGTCCTGTCGAAAAAATGGTGAGCTACCGTTGTAAAAATCTTCTTAACAAGGGCACTACACGATATTCAGGACATTAATTCGTTATAAACCTTGTATAATTATGGAGATTAATAATAGCAATTTTGAACACGCACTCCTTTTGTCAGTTGATCGATGATGCTAACAATAAGCTGTTTTTCGCATTTCTCAGTACTAAAAATAGCCAAATTTAGAGTATCATTTTTGATGTGATTCAAGCTTTGAATGCCGCTCACGAAACCCCACACAGAGCATCATCGGTGAACAACAACTTTTTGAACGGCTTCCAGTATCCGTGATTCGTGTCACAATCTCTGTTTTTCGATTTTCCAACGAGGAACAACACCCACGCTATGTTTGCCGAATAAACAGATAGCTCGTTTCGTCGCGTCCATTCGCATTGAACTTGAACTTCGATACCATTTGCATGAACTTCGTCCGTGACAGAGAATTTCAACAGCGTTGGTATAAGGTCAAGACCATTTAGAGTCAGTTGGATTTAACCATTAGAGGGTGAGACCAGATATATCAGTGCGGATAATTATAACCCAACAATAAGCTTCTAAGCTTCAATATTCCTGTCTTACTATTCTAAGTTTAATTGTTCTAAGCTTTAGAATTTTTAAGTTTAAGAATTCTTAGCTCTAGTGTTTCTAAATTTAAATATTCTGAGTTTTAGTATTTTAAGCTTCAGTATTCTTAAACTTAAGTAGTCTGGGCTTTAGTATTGTTGCATTTAAGTATTCTGGACTTTACTACTGTTAAATTTATATATTCCGGGGTTTAGTATTTTTAAGTTTAAGTATTCTGAGTTTATGTACTCCGAGGATTTATTAATCTAAGCTATAATTCTCACAATCTCATCAGATATAGATCTCGCATCACAATCTCGATATAAATCTTTCGAACGCGATGACCATGTAGAAACCGGAAGCGGTTTTTCCCTTCAAGCATTACTCAGTTTCCATTACTTTCACCTCTAATACATATATTTTATTTCAGATACTGAAGACACTGCTTTTGAGGCTCGAGATTTAGAGGTTGATTTCCATGAAGCAACAACGACCAAGCGTCCATCTATTTCCTCCCACGGTTCGTACTATTATAAATTAAATCAATCTTTATCTTACAAGAGGAATGTCGTGTAAATGGCGAAAACTATCTAGCGCACAGGTGGCAATAACAAATTCTGTCTGCAGATACGGAAAACGAGGTGGCCGACGATGACCTCGATCAGGACTACGAGATTATCCTGAAAAGGCTGACCAAGCTCGAAAAGGTATGTTGGACAATGCTCTGCCGTATGTTATTTGACTTGTAAAGGAGAGATACATTTGTTGGTCGCTTGAAATGCGAATACAGCACGCCAAGGGATTTTCTTCTTCTATCTTCAACTTCTAAACTATCACTCAGCTTCAAAATTACATTGCTTCATATAACATTTGTTCATTGTTATTTATAACAAATTGCAAAAAAAAACACAAAGGAATTAGTAAACAAATTTTATTGTTAAAGTTATTTAGCTTCTTATGAAGAAAACCTAAGTTCCTTTGGGTCGTAATTTTATAAAATTTACTATTTCTTTTTTAGCAATTTGCAAAAGGAAGAAAAAGAGACACAGATACGACAGAAATGAGCGTCAAAGTTGCTTCCGTCGTTGACAGTATAAACGAAATGAAAAGAGCTGTGGAAAATATGGTGGGTATTCGATGTAAATTTAATAAAAGGTATAATAAATATTATTTATCTTAAAAATAATATTCCTTGCAGCACCACATGCAACAGGAAATATACGAGATGCGAAATAAGCTGAGGGAGTACGAATTGGAGACAAGGAAAATGCAACATTTGACGAATCGAGTGATGGAATTGGAAAATCGTTTGAGACTACGTTGTAGAGCAACGATGCCGATAAACGGTGGCGCATTAAACTTTTAATGTCACTACAATAAAAGGAAATATCAAAATCCATAGGGCATTGCCCATAAATGTAATATTTATGTACGAATACTTTTTATAAAGGATATACTACCACTGCCATCTTCATAGCTTTTATGTGTTAGACTTTTAGTAGAATTGTAACTTAAATAACCTTTGTGATCATTTATATTCAGCTTTGTATTAAAAAACAAAAAGAATAAACTTATGCGATTCTTACTTAAGAAAGGTTCTTGTGATATTTTATTACAATCATAACATTTTCTACAAGGTCAACAGGGAGGCGTCAATTAATGCTATCGATTATGAAAGGGTTACTTCTTCTTTGTTGTTTTCTTCTGTTTCCTAGTTAACCTTTTATTCGATCCTGTGGTTGATTTTTGTGATTTTGCTCTACCCTTTTTATGTTTAGCAATTTTTCTTCTGTTCATCCATACTGGATAATTTCCAAACTGGTCCTTCATTGTTCTTTTGTTGTATATTCTACCATTACTGTCTACTTCCATTGTGTCTAAATCATCTTCCTCAGTGCCTTCTTTAGACTTTGTGTTTTCTTTTATTGTCTTTGCATCAATCACTAAACACAGACATCAGTTAAAACTCAATGTATAAAAGTAAAAAAATTACAAATAAAAGTATATTTTGAATAACATTAAAAATTACCTGTAGCAATTTCTGATATTTCTGACATCTCCACATCTTGAGATCCGTTCTCACTAATACCTAATGTTTTTTTTAACCTATCTAATTCTTTTGCTCCATAACGTTCTCTTTTAACTGCTCTACATTTTCTCCTCCATTTACTGCGTAACGATTTTGCCATTTTATTGATTTAAATCTGCAAATATTGAAAATATAAATTAATAATACCATCGACAATATTATATTTTGTCAAATTAAACAATAAACAATATTTGAAGAACTATTTGGACAGAACCACAACATAAACAATAAAATTAAAATTCTATAATAATACATTTATCTAAACATTTAAAATCAAATTAAGCTGCAAATGAAATAAAACTTACTTGAAGATAGTGCTCCGTTGTACGTTTTAAAAACTACTTTACACTTTTATTAAAACTTGAAATAAACACGTGTTGGAAAACAGCATTATATCAACGTAAATCCTAACCTCATATAGTGTCACTGACTACAGATGTAGAAGACTGGACATTCCTCTGGTTTCAAAGGGTCATGAGTTAGGGGGTTTCAGACACCCCAAGATTTTGTCTGGCAGTCATCGGACTCCTTGATTCCTCAAGATAATATAGGTCGCTGCGCAGAGGTAGCCGCAGGGGTCCATGACACCCCGGATTTCATAATGTGAGTATACAGGGAGAATCAAAGGTGCTTCGGGGTCCCAGACACCCCAGGATCGAATTAGATCGTACCCATCACTACCTCGACCAAGGGAGTTTCACGATTTGTTCGTTTTTAAGTCGTATATTTCGCTATTTGCTTCGGGGTCCCTGACACCCCAGTGGCATGATATCGGTATGCAGCGTCACCCGTACCGCGGGGTCTCAGATACCCCGAATGCTGTAGTGTCGGTAAGCAAAGAGTGTCATCGATGCTTCGGGGTGCCTGACACCCCATATGCCGATATGCGAAGAGTGTCAGCAGTGCTGAGGGGTTCCTGAGACCCCAAGATGATATGTCGATACGCAGTCACTGGTGCTTTGGGGTCCTCGGCACCCCGGATGATATATTATTGGTACACAAAGATACTCATCGGCATTTTGGGGTCCTTAATACCACAATATAATAACAGGTCGGCACGCAGAGATAGTTACTGGTGCTATGGGGTCCTTGGCACCCCGGATCCTAAATTATTGGTATGCAAAGATACTCATCGGCATTTTGGGGTCCTTAATACCCCAATACGATAACAGGTCGGCACGCAGAGATAGCTACTGGTACTTTGGGGTCCTTGGCACCCCAGATCCTATATTATTGGTATGCAAAGATACTCATCGGCATTTTTGGGGTCCTTAATACCCCAATATGATAACAGGTCGGTACGCAATAGGCGTCTATTGGCGCAGCGGGGTTCCTAACACCCCTGGAAAATATCAGGTCCGTATGAAGAGGGCACAACCGGTATAATCTTTTTCCAGAATTTCTTTAATTTACTTCATTTATTTTTTTTTTGCTTATTAAATAAGCTCATCGAAGGGGAATAATATTAAATGATTATATCCCTCTTCCGGGTCTCAGTCGAGGACCCCATTTATTTTACTTTTTCCAGTTATTTATATAATTTTATCCCTCATTATAGGCCAAGGCCATCTCAGTACCCCTTACATCCCAGCATTTCTTACACTCTTGCAACCCTTAAATATTCTTTTTTTTTTTTTTTTTTTTTTTTAACGTGGTGGAAATCTTCAGAAAGAAACCTTCAGCCCCCCTGGGGAGGGGCCGGAGGTAGTGTGGGATTTTTACCCACTAAAACCACCACGGTGGCCAGCACTACGGCGGTAGGGAGGGTCTTTGCACCCGCCGCCATATAACAAACTCCGCCGACATCGGGGGCCACACCCGATGTGGGCACTCCTCGGGCCGCGCGCAGTTGAGACCGGGGCCCCAGCCCCGGACCCCTACGGGATTCCGTTACATCTCTGCATCCCTTACATCCCTGCATTCTTTTCATCCCTACATTCTTTTCATCCCTACATTCCTTACATCTCTTCATCCCTTAAATCCCTACATTATTATCATCCCTACATTCTTTAAATCCCTACATTCCTTTTATCCCTACACTCTTTTTATCCCTACATTCTTTTCATCCCTACACTCTTTTCATCCCTACATTCCTTACATTTCTTCATCCCTTAAATCCCTACATTATTATCATCCCTACATTCCTTTCATCCGTACATTCCTTACATTTCTTCATCCCTTAAATCTCTACATTATTATCATCCCTACATTCTTTTCATCCCTACATTCCTTACATCTCTACATCCCTTATAACAAATATATTATAAAGACTGGTTCGAGTAAAGGTAAGTAAAGGTAATTTAGTTCCTAAGTTAAATTCTTGAAGAAACAGCGCCCCCTAGCGGCAAAAATGTGAACTAAAATTTCGATGTCGAATCAGCGCCATCTGGTTTCGGAAAAAAGAACTAAACCTTGCACCATTTCTGGCCCCCTGGCGGTAAGAATGTGAACTAAAATATCGATGTCGAATCAGCGCCATCTGGTTTCGGAAAAAAGAACTAAACCTTGCACCATTTCTGGCCCCCTGGCGGTAAAAATGTGAACTAAAATATCGATGTCGAATCAGCGCCATCTGGTTTCGGAAAAAGGAACTAACCCTTGCACCATTTCTGGCCCCCTGGCGGTAAAAATGTGAACTAAAATTTCGATGTCGAATCAGCGCCATCTGGTTTCGGAAAAAGGAACTAACCCTTGCATCATTTCTGGCCCCCTGGCGGCAAAAATGTGAACTAAAATTTCGATGTCGAATCAGCGCCATCTGGTTTCAGAAAAAGGAACTAAACCTTGCACCATTTCTGGCCCCCTGGCGGCAAAAATGTGTACTAAAATTTCGATGTCGAATCAGCGCCACCTGGTTTCGGAAAAAGGAACTAAACCTTGCACCATTTCTAGTCCTCTGGCGGCAAAAATGTGAACTAAAATTTCGATGTCGAATCAGCGCCCTCTGGTGGCGAAAATTTCAACTCACTTTCAGGGAGGTACTGGGTGTATGGAATGCAGGAATATAAGTGATACAAGGGATGTAAAGGATACAGGCATATAAGGGATGCAGGGATGTAAGGGATGTTGGGATATAAAGAAGGCAGGAATGTGAGGAATGCAGAGGTGTAAAGAATGTAGAGATGTTAGGAATGCAGGGATGTAGGGGAAGCAGAGATGTAATGGATGCAAAGATGTAAGGGATGAAAAGATGTAAGGAATGTTGGGATGAAAAGAATGTAGTGATGAGAAGAATGTAGGGATGGAAAGAATGCAGAGATGTAAGGGATGCAGAGATGTTGGGAAAACTGAGATGTAAGGGTTGCTGGGATGTAAGGAATGCAGTGATATAATGGTGCAGAGATATAAAGGGTGCAGACGGAAGTAATAAAATCAACGCGTTCGTCCTCCTAAGGAGTTTATTCAATAAGCTAAGAAGATAATTACTGCAAATTAAATGAACGCAGAAAATGAAATAAGAATGCCTTTAGCTACCTACGTGAAGCTAGCCGGAAGGAATAATAAAATATGATTATTTGTAATTTTTCTTAGTGTATTTCGTTTGTAAATCGTTTGTGATGGATTGTGAGTCTATTTTTAACGTTTGTGACAAATTACTTCTTTTGTAATTAGCAATTGTATTTCAGTAATGATGTGAGTCGAAACTTTTTAGTATTTTTTTATAATAAACAGATTTTGCGATAATTGCTAATTGTAATTGATTGGAAATCGTTTGTGATACTGTGGTATCATCGGTATACTCGATCGATACTGTGGTACTATCATTGTAACAGTACACATATAACATTTATCTGCCTTGTTTTCGAGCATGCGTACAACGTCTCAGCGTCACTCAGAGACATGTTTCCGCGTTATTAAAAGGAAGGATATTTATTACTATCTTGCAATTACTATTTCGCGATTTGTTTGGCTTTTAGGTCTTATATTTTGCTATTCGTTCTTATATTTCACTTGTCGGTATTACCTACCGTCGGTATAATTGTCACGTACTTTATTGGCGTCAACAATTGCTGATACAATAGCCACACTTTCGGAGTGATGGCAGTGGCTACAGATGCAACAAGACTGAACATGCTTTGAATTTGTGCCTTGGAAACGAGCGCCATTTACTCTATCCTAGTATAAGAATGTGAAACACTTCGCACTGCAACAGCCTATGTATGTTGACGGTAATAGCAGATTGCTTCGATATCAATACCTATCATTGCTCAGTTTTGTTGGATTAGCAGTCGTCGCGGTCCGTGAAGATGTTACATTTCAGGGCCGCTACCCTCAACACGGACAGAGCGAAGAAGAACAGAAAGGGAAGGCTGAGCCCTCCCCTAAAGTGTACATGGTGTCCCAGAATGAGTGCTAGCTGCTTGAAGGGGTGGTAGCTGGGATGATTCTGACCAGCATTTGCCTTTCTGAAAATGTAGTTTGAAGCTTCGTTATTGAATTATTAATGAAAAATACCATCTAATTAATCGCCAAAATGTGGCTATTGATTATGTTCGAACGATGATCATGAACAATCGTGGCGACACTACGACGGCACAATTTGGGGCTTCATTTTTGAGATATAAGCAACTGAAAATTGGAATATCTTCTATCATTTTAGCTTGGTCCAGTGGCTTGTCTCACCTTGTATACAAAATAAGTATCTACCCTTTACTTCATTGACCCTGAAGTGATTTTGAGAATGCGATTCATAAATAGAGTATAATTAGGTAGAAATTAATTTATCCAAATCAGAAATCGAACTTTTTTAATGTTATCTATCTTTAAATTGAGAAAGTAAATAAATCTGTATTTTGGAGAGACCAGGCTCACCCCGTTTCCTACCTAATTACACGAATACTAGCTGATCAGTGAAACTCTTAAAATACGTAAGTTTCATAAACACCTATATCCGTATCCGTGTCGAGTTCCAATTTCACTCCATCTTTCCGGTGCAAAAAAAGCGTGGGCGTCTTTGCATTATCGTTATCGCGGTTTCGGTAGCCAGACCTGTTCGTTAGCGATAAATAGATATAGGCGTGTCTATTAATTCACTATCAATCGTAAACGTGCCTGACCACGTCACGACAAACCTGTTTTCTCAGGAGCTTCGCGATAAACGGAAACGTCGGTCAATTTTACGATTAACACTTTCTAAGTCGCGAAGAAGTCTACTGCCGGTATTTAAACGTTCTGATCCACTTTTCACTCGGCCCGTAACATTTATGCGGGTCTACTTTTCACGTGGTGATGCTTTAAACACCGGCTACTCTTCCATCCTGATTATCCTTTTACACGTTCGCTGTCCACGAATAGTAAAGCTTGATTTGTTGCGGCAATTAACCGTGCAAATTGATGTCACGCAACTAAATGTCCATCAGGAAAATTTCTCTACCAGATAGGATCTCAAGTGGATAAGATACTTTCTTAAGTCAGGAATTTTGTTATTGATGATAAGCGGTTTATCGATAAATTATATTTATAATAGGTTGTTTGAAAAGTTCATTAATATTAAGATGACACATAAAGTTATTTGAAAATTTAACTGTTGAACACTATTTTAACTAAATTTCCCTGTTATAAATATAAAGCTTCGAGTTAGGATAGGTTACGTTAGGTTGGGTTTGCTTTTCCTCCATCATAATAAAATCGGGGTTAGGTTAGATTAGGTAAATTAAATAGAGTGGTCCCTGGTGTCGGCAGATAAAGAGGTAGTGGTCCTGGCTCCCCCCTGCGGCGCCGGATGGAGGACCACCGAGGAGTTTTAGTCGGTAAGAACCCGACACTACCCTCGTGTCTTATGCAAGATTTCTCCTCGTTAAAAAAAAAAAAAGTAAATGAAATAGCCAAATTTAAAATACGACTTTACTCAATCCTTAAGTAGTATAAAATTTAGAAAATGAAAATAATATGAAATACGGTATTAAATTAGAATTAGGGTTCTCTCCATGGTCCGCCATTCTATGGTTAACACCTTTTCTCTATAATTAAAAAGAAAATGTATAGAATCACAGTACGTCTTTGTGTCATCAATGATTAAAAGCATATCTCTTTTATCAAGATAAAAAGCGCAAAATAACTGCGAATCACTTGCAATAGTTCGCGGGAACGTCGACGAAGCATCAAAGTCTATTATCACCGGCAGACCTCTTATCAAGGAGTGGCGGTGCAGTATAAACGTATGAAGTAGTGACTCGTTAATGTAGTAATAGCCCAAAGCAACGGTGTAGTGCGTCGTGGTATACGTGGGCAGAGAGAGCATTCTGTTTTTTCGCATTGTCGGGCCAAGTAGTTTGTTAACGGCGGACGTCAGCGATGTCATCTTCAGAGTTTAACGAGGAGTAAGTAATACTTACGATCTCTCTAAACGACTCACCCCGAACAACTTCCGCGCTACAAATTGTCGGATGTTTCGCGAGTCTTGCCCATTAGATTCCTCTTTCGCGACGTTTCCTTCATTAAAGGGATATTGGCTTAGATAAATTAGTCACGTCGCTTAACTTTGATACTATAAATAGAGTATAAAATTAAATTTAAATTATCGTTACTCAAGAGTCCATCGTTAAGGGGATAATTCATAAAGTGGCACATTTGTAACATTGAAATTTCAATACATTGATTTTTATAATGCAAAAGTACTAATTTTTATATTTTAATGAGTGAAACTGTAGAATGGCTTAAAAACATTTGAAATGATGAGTAAGTCATCGAAGTGTTAATTTAAAAGCCCAGACGAGGATTAGAAATTATCAATCATACTCGAGAGTGATCAACAAGAAACTTGATATGTAAAAAAGCAGTTAGAGCTGTAAAAAGCTGATTTAAACTGATGAGTAATGATATTAAAGCGAAAACATGATAGAGTGAAGAATTCCTGTTATTGACACAGATAGCGATGTTTCATTTGAAACGTCGTACTGTAATTAGGTCACCCGAAAGGATTAACCATCTATTTATCTATTATCGTTCTATATGCAAATATTACCTTTTTAAAGTATGATTAAATGTTCAAGATTGAGCGTTTAAAAATCAAGGCAGCCCATGATTACAAGGTTCAGTTGCTTCATTTATCACCTTACAAACGAAGGTAGTTATTTATAAAATTGCATGGAACTGATTGGAACTATAAATCAATCAATTAGTGACCAGTAACAAATATTGATTCTAAATAGATCATATCTAGAACAAATATCGAGGAAATATAAAATGATAGTTATTGATGTTGAAGTTAATAAGAAGACACCTTTTGTTTCTGGTGATACACTTTTCTCTATTTAATTAATGTTAAAATGAAGATATTATTTGTTAACAAGAAACAGGAATTTACTTTAAATATACCACTTGAAAATTTCTAGAGTTGGACACTGTTTATTTGAAATGCCATAATTGTTAATTTTTACCATTTCTTTACCGAATTTTCACTTTTCTGCTAGAGTATTTACCGCGCCTTTTATACTTTCTATGAATTATACTCGTTCGTTCTCTGAACTCTATTTCTCCCACCTACCTGTTCTTACTTTCAATCTTCTCTAAAACACTTCAGAGAACATTAATTTTTGTTCCACGAAAAATCGCATGCACTGGGTCGTCGAACCAAGAACAACGATAGGCTCAATGCACTTGAGTGCAACGGCCTTTGTCGTAACCGTGAATGCGCTCTCTCTTCGTACCTTTGAGACGATTCTCGCGTAATCGCGAATCGAACTTGCCTATCGGTAATCGAAATTCCGTCTGAACGCGAGGACCTGGTTTCGTTTCAGCCAGTATACATACTGCTTTCATTTCAATTGACTCTAGACATAAGCGCGATATAGCACAAGGACATTATATTACACTGACCTCGTCTCCGTGTGACCCGAGCCGAGTGGCTCATAGAACACCGCTCTAAAGTATTCATGCTTCGAATGGAAAGAAAACTTGTGCAATTTACAGTATGATTATATAGAGTTATGCAAATTGAGTGTTATATTCAAAATAAAATAAAAACGAATTTTCTTCTACATATATTTTTGCAGTAGGCGTCCGATAATTCCCTGCATTTCGAGCTCTGGAAAACGGAGAATTATCGATCATCGTTGGCATGCATGCCTTCTTCACGTATTTGTTTACGTGATACAGCAATACATTTATTGGCTATCTGGATGAAAAGGTCGAGTGTACGTGTGTTTATGAATAATGAGTGTGAATATGAGGCGTTCCTAATGAGGAAATTATATGGTGGGGAGTTAGCGAGCACCCATTGTAGAGTAGGCTTTCCCAGAGAAAATGTCAATATCTCTGGTTCCCCGAGGTTCTAGCCCCCCTCGGCAGTCTCGAGAAAAATGACGATGTAAGGGAGAAGACCCCTTATATAGTATAAGTCTGTAGCTCCCCACCATTTATTATTCATATTTCTCAATTATATACTAAATACTTAATCATTAAAAAATTATATTAGTTTCAATTCTGAATCACTTTTAAATTAAGATTTTCATTGAATCGAAAATTATTATTAATTAACCGTAGAAAGACCAAGGAGGTTCAAAAAATTATTTATTTTCACTTATACCTTTATTAATATTGAAGAATTAATTCTTTTTAGAAAAGACATTATTAAAAAATGAAAGCATTAGAAATGAATTACTACGTACCAGACTCCATTTTTCTAGAGTTAACGAATCCAATCCCCCTTCTTTCACGAAAAAAATTAAACTCGCATGATAGCAATTGTAACTACGTTCCATGATCATTTTTGACACGAGGAGAATGCAGCTTTCACGCGAACCCTTTCATTAGCTCATCCGCTCGAAGAACAATGCCACAGCCAATTAAACTCGTTTAAGCTCTAGACGCGTATTATGTAAGAGCAGACGAAGGGTGGCTATTGTCATTGTACTCCATGAATAGTGCGCCAGCCATTTTTGCAGCGTGTATCATGGTCTGGAACAAATGTGATCTCAAACGTTAAAAGAATGTGAAGAATGTCCCTTTAAACTTGCTTAAAATGAAAGAAAACAAGTGCCACATTGTAAAGTTTCAATGGATCGTGTGTTTTTTATTTTCAGAATAAAGCAGAAGGTTCCATCTGAAGAAGTATCAAACGATGAAGATTCAGATGATAGTTTGGAATATTTTTGGGAAGAAGTGGAAAATCTTAGCTTGGAGTAAGTTTTATTGATGATTATTGATGATGTATTTATTAACACACTGACTGCCACGTAAATGCGATTAACAAATACTATTGAAAATTTCATTAGATAACATTTTGATTTTTAACAAATCTTATTTACTATCTTCAAAATATTTCGTTATGTATTAAAATTCACTATTATCAAATTTTATTTATTTGAAAAATATATTAACACTACAGTAGCTCAACCAAAGGTATCAGCAGGTGTCAGCTACTTCTTATTAAGAAATTAGAAAGAAATTATAATATATACAAGAATATTTACGAAAATTTAAAAAGTAATAAAAATAATTTGTTAATTTCTCATTGGACAATAATGATTGCACCACTGCCACAAATTCTTCTCATAAAAACGTCAATTTAGTCATGAAAGAGCTAACGTATCATCGATACCACATTGACATGGTACGTGTCGATGGAATAAAGATCAAATTAGCTCCTAAATACGTTCTCTGCCTACGAAATTAGCAACCTGTCGATCACCTAACATTCTTCGAGCATCGCAGGTGACGTGTAACCGCTACGCGATTCGCATACCCGTATAAGTTGTAAAACTTTCACTGATAACGAGAGCAACATTCCAGCGGAACGGTGTCTTCTGAATATTTAGAGGTTCCAGGCTGTCGTGTCGGGAACAGTTTCGTATTCGGCCGGTTTCGCGAGCGGATCATCCTGCGAGCTTTGCGAAACGCTGCGTTCTCGTTTTTCTCGTCAGCTTTAACTAGTGACATGCACAATTTTAACGACTCCTTTTGACACGTGCTCTGTCACACGCTGTGAATAATTAAGTGCAACGCAGCCACCATATTCCGCCCTAAAATGCACTTTTCACGCTTGTGTCTGTCAGACGAACAAAGAAGTTGAATTATAACAGGATATTGTCCCGTTGAGCTTCTGTAAGTCTTTTCCTTTTTTTGTTTAACTTGCTGTGCATTACTGTGGAATGCTAATGAGACGTAGAGTCAAAAGATTCATTCTTTGTTGAATTAGGTATTCTTGCTTTAAAATGGTATGAATGAGATGGATTAGCACGTTTTGTAAAGATTATTTTAGGAGGAATTAAGAAGACTTATGTGACAAAATTGTGTGTTTAATTTTGGAAATTTCTGGTTTAGGGGAAGAGTGAAAGCTACTTACTTAAATTTTTCTAAAGTTTACATTTCTTTTCTGAAGTTTCTAAAATTAAAATTTATATAGATGTTAAATGCCTGCGATGAAGTAGGAGGATATTGTACACTGACAAGTGACAGCACGTCACGACTCTATTAGAGCAAAGTGCAATGTTCCACATACACGTTAACCTGGTTTTAGTGTCATCGATGTCATCGATGTTACAACTAGGCTTATCATCAGAGGCGGACTGGGACTTAAATTTTTACCGGAAGTTTAGTGACACGAAGGGCCCTCATGTAATATATGGGCCTTAATTATAATTAATTAGGCTTCAAAAATATTGGCCTACTGGCCGACCAGAAATTTTCCCGAATTCCCGATGTCCAACCCGCCTCTGATCGTCATGCTCCCTAAATATCCGCTATTATAAATGGCATAATTGTCTCACGTATTCGTAATTCCTATTTTTTCGATGTCATCCCCATTATTCGGAGACTATTAATTGGACGAAACGAGCGATTCGTTTGAACCTTGTTGAACTAGTTGGCCGCTCGATTACCCCGATGAAACGAAAACGGTGGAACGAAGCAGCCTACACTCTGTGCTCGATCGATTGTCACGCTACTTTCGCGGATATTTCCCAGGAATGAAATTCGTTCGCATCGTTGGATACGTTGGGTCTTTGAACCAAGAATGACTGTTCCCGTGAACGATGAAACTCGCTTCATTCTTTGTGAATCACTGTGTTACGCGAGCAGAACCTCCGTTGAGAACAGTGGAATCAGCTTATTATCATCACTTTAGAGCTTGCAATATTTTATAACAATAAACAGAGGATAAAAAATGTTTATTATCAAATTCAATTTATTACAAACTACAATAATTTATTTTAGAAAGATAAAGGTTACGCTTCAGAGGAAGATCTATTTATGTATTTTCTAAGAATTTTTGTCATAAGCTCATGTAACAAATGAAAGATATGCTTCGATTTAAAGTAAGTTTCAAAGAGAAGGTTTATTTATATAATAGGAATTTGCTGAGAATTCTTATCATTTCTGCTCAAGTGGAATTATCACAATTCATAATAATAGTCGAAGTTTGATTACAATAGATAGATTATAAATTTCAAAATTCCAGATTCGAAAAATTTCAAAATTCTTCATAGATTCCCAAAATTATAAAATTACTAAGAAACCAGCCTCTACTCAAGAGAAGATTTAAGTTACGTCAACGAGCAGCAAAGCATAATAACAGAGGTACCATTTTGATAAATTTCCATTAGAAAGCTACCAATTTAATCGTATGACGTTCAATAAGAATGTACACTCAAAGTATACATTAGCAGTACCAATAATACAGATAGAAACGAGGAAGCACAGAGACGAACAGCGGATTATTAGTCGTTGAAAGCACGGAAGTGTTTTCATGGATCCAATTTAGACGTGGGAATAGGGTTACACTAATAGAAACACGAAATTGTCTGGTGTTTCCATGGAAAATTGCAGTGAACTCCGGGTAGATACGTACGTAAGAAGAATTTACAGTTCGAAACCAGTTCCTGGTTCTCATTCGAGATGCCAGAGGAAAGTAAAAGCGTGCAAGGGCTCGTGATCGATTTCCCGAAGACGAACGTGTTTCCCTGACATTTCTTCGCGAAAGTGAAACCCATCTGCGACAGGTTCTATAAAAAGGATCGCGATTTCACGCTTGTAAAAACATGTTTTCGAGATACTGTATAAGGGATAAGGATCATTTTCTCGAGTGGAAAATTGACATTAGTAATGGTGATATTAAAACGTTGCTTTGCCCTGTTTTTCGCAGACGATGAAAACGGTGGATCTGTTTTTCTCGCGTTCAAGTTACTTGCTCGTTGTGTAATGGATATCGGATGTTGTTGATCTCCTGTTTTATTTCAGATAAATTTACTTCTTCGAATCGAGTTCTTATCCTTGAAAACATTTTGCTGCGTGGCAATAATAGTAAGAGGCTTTTTAAAATTTATACATTTGAAAATACTAAACGAAGGCTTTGTTAATTACTGCTATGATAAAAAGAAACTGATGGAATTACAAATATGTATTAAAAACAAATCCGTATCTTTTTGATTTGTGCCATTATTGTTTATTTGATTGATAGACATTAAAATATATAGAGAATTGAATATTATTTAATAAAAAAAATTGTTTAAATTCGATGAAAACTTTCCATACCTTTTTGGTTTTAAAATGCATTCAATAGAGAAATGATTGGAACAACAAATATATTAACATAAATTAGAAACTATGTTAAAATTAAGTAGTTTATGACCTGGAGAAGATATTGTTAATCGTCACACGATTGTAGAGTAATTTTGACCTGGCTACAGAAATAAAATATACAAAATATAGAAAGTTCATTAACAGAGCTCAGGCAAAAGAGATAAGATTTACATATGAAAGTGTATTTTAAATTTTCTACACAATTTAGCTTTCAAACCTTCGTATACTAATATTTTAATTACAAATTATTAATTTCTTTATTTCTTTAAAAAGATCATTCTCGAATCAGATTGTTGATATTTGAATATTATGAAAAA